TGCACATAGACGGAATAAAAATAACACACACAAATAACGAAAATTAGTAAGTAAAATGAAACTAATTAATCAACTTCATCATTTTTTTTTCATCTTTCTTTAAGTTACAAAATTATCAGATCTTGGATAAATAAATGTTTTAGAAGTATCTTACCGTTGCAATAAGAAATTTCCTTCAAGACTTCAGCAAGCTTCAGAGCAAACTCTAATGAACACAAAAATAAACCCACAATATAAAAAATTAATGGTAACTTTAGTCTAGAAATCAAGCTAAAAAGGAAATTTTTAATTTACTTTTTTCAAATATTATTGTCGTTCTTTTTTATTATTTTAAGTAACATTGTTGTTGTATAGTTAAGAAAAAAGCTCCATAAGGAAATATTAACACCATTATATATGTCATTAGCAAATATTACTACAATAATAGAAAAAGAAGACAAAAAAGTCAAGCTACAAAAAGATACCTTTAGATTTATCTTGGCCATTGATGGAGCTCTGGATATTAGAGTTTTCTGGAAGGCAGACTTCATACGGAAGAAAGAGAAGATCTGATATAGAAGAGGGTTCTCAAAATATCTAGGAGTGTTTAGGAAATTCTTAAATTGACACATGTCAATTTGGGAATAATGGTCTTTTTTTCTTCCGTCCTTTCCAATCCGCCCATTTTTGGAAGGATAAGAATTTGTGGGTCCCAAAGGATTTACAACCCCTCTCCTCTTTCCATCCTACCAAACAAGGTTGAATTTCACTTCCAGCTCTTAATCCATCCCTCTACCATTCCTTCCCTCATACCAAACACATCCTTAGGGAAAGCTTGGTTTCCGAATCGAATTTAAGTGTAGAAGTGTAGAAATACAGATCGGGGACTGAACAAAAATTTTCATAAAATTTTTTAGAATTATAATATATTAATTTATTTAAAAATATAATTATATTAATTTATAAAGATAAATACTTAATGAACGATTAGATATATAATTCGTGTTTGATTATGAACAGTTTAAGCTCTAAGCTCTAAGTTTTCTCATAAAATTCAAATTTTTCTCGTCTAATCCTTATAATTTGCAAAACGTAGAGTGTGCGCTCTAATATAGTTCTATTGGATTATGATCACTCGCTATTTTTTTATCTCACCACTATCAACGCATGTATGTGATGAAACTGAGAATTGAAATAACTTTTCTTCTTTTTTTCTCTAGTTACAAGCTGTTAAACAGAATGTTACACTCTCATAAGAGCTATGTTACACTCCCTAAGAAAAAATTGTGTTCTCTAATTTTCTACTGTCTCATATTTATAAAACACTAGAAGGTCCCATTTGCTTTAACTTAAAGACAAAATAATAGAAAATTTGTTATTTTAAATCTCATTTAAAATACAGTTTCCTATTTAATTTTGGAAACAAAATTCTCCATTCCCTTTATTACACGTCCAGCCACACCACAAGGCGATCTCCTAGTGGTTGGCGCAAATAGCAGGCAAGAGAGATAAAAAAATTTCTCCTTAATTTAGTTTTTAATTTTAGCTTAAATTTAAATTTAAATAAAGTCAAACTTTACTTTCATTTTGAATTTGATTGTAAAACTTGTCAAACAAATAAACTGGATATCTTGAAGAACAAGCAACTGAATCTCAGTGGGATTCACCATGTGTCACGTGCCCCCTGCAGCTCCATGTGCCTAGACCGGGCGTGTGGCCTTTGTGGTCCTACCACAATGTGTTCTAAAATTAATTTAATAAAATAATTACATTATTTATTTCAAGTGATATTAAATCTCAATAATTCATCTTGTCTTGCAAATATTACAAGGATGACGCGGGGACTCATGAACCTATAATTCTGAGCTCAAATAAAATTAATAATTAATTAAACTCTTTAATTAATTAATTAATTCTATTAAACTCAAAAGCTACTCTACTAAAAACTTGGAATTACACTCTCAAAATTGTCACTACATATATATCAATCATTCATAAATAATTCATAATTAGAGCTAGGTAATCTGTTATCCTCTCTAATTACATATTTATCCTTGAGTATTATTGATTCTCTAATGGATAGTGATTCATGAATCAGAGCTCCTACTAATCCAAATACCAAATCAATCCTTAAGGGAATTACTTATCTCATTCTTTCTCAATAATGAATAGATTCCCTATCGTAATATTAACATTTCCGGCAACTTATTTCTTTATATATCCAAGATACAAGGAATAAGATTTAGAATCTCAAAATCCGTACCGAGTAAGTCAAAAGACACAAATCTATAAATATGAGTTTGGTAATAACTCATGATTAAGATCATTCTATATATGACCATTGGTATACTCAATTAGAATTTCTATACTTAACGGAATTATTAAAAATTCTTATTGTGTATGTGTCATAGTCCTACATAATCTCATTATGTCAAATACATTCACTCGACATCTCTCTATATGAACGATGTGGATAAACTCGTTTTATTTTTAATGAGAATGACGTGTATTAATAATGTTTTAATTAAATATTATGAACTTTAATTAAATTCATCACTGGCTAATTTTGATTATTATCTTTAAATATTATCCTTAATTTTTATTTTATTAATTAAATAATAAAATCTAAAATCACATCTCATACTTTTGGACACCATTCTCAACACACGTAAATTTCATATTTAATACTCCATTTTGTACTGTGAATGCTATCATTTTCTGTTAGCAATGTAACAAAATGGGCAATTTTGTAAGAGTTTTACAATTTAAGGAGAACCGATGTAACAAATCAAAATTTATTGGATATTTTATAACAGGTTTATAGTTTAGAAATAAACGTGTAATTTGTCTTTACATTTGTCACGAGATGGTCACGATGACTTCATGACCCTCTAATGGGCGTACTATCATCGATATCGTGTTCTTGTCATTTTTCAAGTACAACATTTGGGTTTTATTGCCCAAAAGCAAGAGAACGATAATAGGCCATCGATCCAATCCAATCAAGGAACTTGGGCTTCACCGGTCAGCCCAACTCTTTGGGGAACAACATGTACTAAAGAGTTTCATTGGAAGTGAGAGAAACAAAAATGAAAGAGAGAGGGCTCGGGCGCGTCGCCGGACTTCCGGCCTTAAAACTTCATCTCACGACTCCTTTTTTCATGGGCTTTGTAGTAGTAGGGGCGGTGTTGGCTGCGAAAGCATCGTTTAGACGGATCTATTTCAAGTTGGTGATTGGGCACTCAACTTCAGATAATAGTAATTAGTTTACTTCTTGATTGGGAAAGGGCGTTTTATTATTATTATTATTATTATTTTTCATTTTCCCTCATCACCTGCCTTGTTTTCTATCACTTTAAAATCACAAGGTCTATCATAAAATAAAAAATGACTTTAATCTAATTCTTCTCAAAGGATGTGATTTTCACTTAATTTCCACGTAATTAATATTGTACAAGCCATTAGGGCTACAAAGTATTAAATCCTTAACGGATCCTTGATAGATAAAAGGGAAGTACATTTGGTTGGCATGTTTGCTTATCTTTTACGAGTCTCTTTAGTGTAGGTTCATACCATTTTTATGAAAAAATCACTCTATCAAAACCAGTTGAATTGGGATTTGAACCTCTTACGTTTAGTTGGTCGATTCGTATCATAATTCGTGACTCATTATAGTATTTTTTCTCATAAAAAATACACGTAAATTAATAATAATTCTAAATTATAATTTTAAATCCATATTCTAACTCCTCAATTTCCCAAAGAGAAACTCAAACGTGAGATAGAAAGATAGAGAGCACTTTTTAAGATCGTAGTCGATGTTCACGTGTGTTGCCCAAAAAGCAATAGAAGGCTATGATATGATGGGCCATCCGGCCCAATCCTAGTAAACTACTTGGCTCGTCGGTTAGCCTAATTCTTGGCCCAAACAACATGTACCTTTCTGATAGAGACGAGGAAGCGTAGAATCTTAAGATAGATCAAAGAAAACACACACAAAATTTCCTAAAAATCCAGAAAGTTTGATGTGCAACTGTTTTAGTGTCCTTTGCACAATGTGAAAGGCAAAATCCACCAGCACCCAATAGGGAAATTAGGAAATCTGCCATCTTTTTTTTAAAAAAAAAAAATTTTGTTTGTTCTAAGCACTTCTCTACATTTCTCCGCTATAAATTAGATTTAATGTCCCTTTTAATTATATAAAATGTAAATCAAGCTTGAAATTTTCACAAAAAATATATATCCAAAACCAAACACCATTTGTGTACTTAAAAATGATAAAATTTCAAGTTTAATCATTATTTTTTTCAATTCTATTATTTATATTATTACATAAAATTTTAATGCATTTAAAAAATAATTTTTAGATTATTTTTTTGAACCTGTTTATAAAAAAATAATTTATAAATTACGATAGATAATTTACAGATTAAAAAATAATTTATAAATTATGAGTGGTATAAGATAAATTTACAATAATAACATAAAGAAATAAAATAATGACACTTTTGGTTTTTTCTTTTTAAAATAATATTGCCGGGCCGGGGTGGACTTCAAACATGTGGTCCAAAGAAAACTGGGCCTTCAACACGCTGCGGGCCAGTGATGCCAGATATCGCCCATGTCGGGCCTCAAATTCGATCAACCGTGACGTGGCAACCCAACGGCCTCTTACACTTTCTTCCGTAAAAAGAAGACAAAATGGAGAAGGAAAGAAAAAAATAAAAAATAAAAAAGGAGCACATTTCTCTAGGCTTCAGATATTCGACAGCTGTCACGAAGCGACGCCTCATGATGAAAACGTTGACGCTTGCGTCTGGCGTGAATTCAACGATTACATTTTATCATCATCTCCGTCGCGCCTAATTACATGATCCTCAATCTGTCGGTCGAGATTTAATCTTGCATTTGATTCTTTTGTCCGCGTCGTAGCCGATCTCCAAATGACCCCTTTTATATTCTGATTTATGGAATCCCTAACATTGGCATTTCCTCGTTAGCTCTCACTATCTCACTCTCACTCTCTTTCTCTCTCTACTCTTTCGCTCGAAACTTCTCGTCCTCTCTATTCTCTCTCTCTCTTCTTTGATCATGGGTAAGTAATCAATCGCTAATTAGTCTTGTATCATCAGATTTTAGTTTCTGTTTAATTTTGCTCGCTTTAATTTCGCTCTGATTGAGTTTTCTTTCACTGAATTTCTGTTTCGTTTGTGTTTTGGGATTTGTCCTTTTTTTCCAGGGAAAATCAAGATCGGAATCAACGGTGAGTTGTTTTTCTTCTTCAAAATTTGCTTCTGGCGTGTTTTTAATTATTTATTGGCTTTTTTGGAGTAATTTTGGACATAGATCTGATTTTTATGTGAATATTTTGGGAAAAAAATAGGTTTTGGAAGAATCGGTAGGTTGGTGGCTAGAGTTGCTTTGCAGAGAGACGATGTTGAACTCGTTGCTGTTAACGATCCCTTCATCACCACCGATTACATGGTATTTTTATTTTAATTTCATTTTTTTCCCTAAATTTTTCAACCATGTCTGATAAAGATTTGTTTTTTTATAATTTAATTTGGTGAGGAAGAAAAATTTTCTGGATTTATTTATTTATTTATTCTTGTGATGTTGTGAGCACAGACCTACATGTTCAAGTATGACAGTGTTCACGGTCAGTGGAAGCATTTTGACCTCAAGGTCAAGGACGAAAAGACCCTTCTCTTTGGAGAGAAGACCGTCACTGTTCATGGCATCAGGTAATTTAGCAAGAGATTATTTTTTGTGTTTCGTACTATTGCATGGGAGATTAAGGTGGATTATAATTGAGAAAATGTGGTTTTATTGACTTGTAGGAACCCAGAAGAGATCCCTTGGGGTGAGAGTGGAGCGGATTTCGTTGTGGAGTCCACCGGAGTTTTCACTGACAAGGACAAGGCTGCTGCCCATTTGAAGGTCCCCCATTTTTGTTTTATATAATTTACAATCTTCAAGACCCGCTTTCTTTAGTTCATTGTTACACGGTTTTCGTATTTTTCCCATAGAATTACACTGGTTATGTTATCGCTTGTGAAATTTATAATATTTTATTCCCCTCCTAGTGGTTTTTTCCCCCGTTCTTTAGTGCAATGGTGTACCAAACGTAGAGATAAATGTGTTTTCATATCCTAGTTTGAGCTTTGATACAACGTTGTTTTAGTTCCTTAATTTGCCGTATCTTCCTCTAACTAATACCCCCCCCGGCTCTCAGCCGAGTGAGCCTACTTAATTAGCGATGTAAGAGGGAAAGTTATGTGCCCTATAATGCCCATTAGGTGGTTGATATTCTTTCAGCCGCCCCCCAGATTGTGCGCTAGTTCAAGAACAGCATATAGAGCTTGATTGTTTTGTTTTTTCTTTCTTAAATAGTGTTGCCTCATTTTAAGTCTCATCATCTTGAAGTCACAAGTTTTTATGCCATTAATTATTGGATTTGTAAGGGCGGTGACTGCTTTTACGAAAGTATCTTTTGCCTTCAGTTGATGTCTCCTTCGGCATTTATCATCATGACACAAGTTTAGTTGAGTTTTGTTTACGGATGACTTTCAGGGAGGTGCAAAGAAGGTCATCATCTCAGCTCCTAGCAAGGATGCTCCCATGTTTGTTGTGGGTGTCAACGAACATGAGTACAAGCCAGAGCTCAATGTTGTTTCCAATGCTAGTTGCACTACCAACTGTCTTGCTCCCCTGGCCAAGGTTTAATTTTTTGCTTTAGTTTGTTTTGTTTTGCAAGTTGCTAAGGAAAAAGGTTGGCAAAAGAAGTTATCTGGTATTAACTTATTTTTCTTCTTGTATCATTTTTCAGGTCATTAATGATAAATTTGGAATTGTCGAGGGTCTGATGACCACTGTGCACTCGATCACTGGTTGGTTTCCCGAAGTTTATTTATTTTTCTGTGTTGCAATTTTTATTATTATTATTATTTTTTTTTTTTTGTGTGCGCTCGTGTGGAAAGGGTTTTTCTTATTATTTTTCCCCCCACAAAGCCAATCTTTATTTAATCCTTTTGTTAAATCTTCTATTTTTCAGCCACACAAAAAACTGTTGATGGACCCTCAGCGAAGGACTGGAGAGGTGGAAGAGCTGCTTCATTCAACATCATTCCTAGCAGTACCGGTGCTGCCAAGGTACAGCTTTTAAACATGTTCTGATGACGTAATTTGACCCTCATCTTAGCCAGTTTTTTGGATGTCTTGTTCTGTTTAGTAATCTGGATAATTCGTTATTTTGAAGTAATCGTCTTAACAGCAATTTGAAGTCTTAATATTCTATTTTGTTTTGTGAAGGCTGTTGGGAAAGTCCTGCCTTCTTTGAACGGAAAGTTGACCGGAATGGCTTTCCGTGTACCCACCGTTGATGTTTCGGTGGTCGACCTCACAGTAAGGCTGGAGAAGGCGGCTACCTATGAGCAGATAAAGGCTGCAATCAAGTAAGGAACAATGAGAGAATAGTCGTGAAATGCATCTTCCTTATATTTTCCCCTTTCATAGGCCTTTTCTTTGGTGCAACTTTATGTGGCAGCTATTAGATATTAACTTTCCATGATTTAGCTGGTGGTTTATTTGACACCATTTGTCTTGGTGGTTCTCAGGGGGGAGTCCGAGGGAAAACTGAAAGGCATCTTGGGTTACACTGAGGAGGACGTGGTTTCCACTGATTTTGTTGGTGACAGCAGGTATATAGATGTACCTTCATTCTTGCATGTCATGAATTTTCTTAGCCATACGTTTGGAAGGCCGACTTTTTCTTCTAGATGCCCGTGATAAAGTTGGTTTTTGATGTTGATTGATCAACACTTGCTAGAAAATCTTATCTTTCCAACTTTCTTCTCTTATTTCCAAAATAAATTCCAGTTCTTTTTTCTTTTAAAAGTTAAAAAGTCGTTGTAAGGGGTTGATGTACTCAATTTTGTTAAACTGTGTACAGGTCAAGTATCTTCGACGCAAAGGCCGGAATTGCTTTGAATGAGAAGTTTGTTAAGCTCGTTTCCTGGTACGACAACGAGTGGGGTTACAGGTAATTAACACTAATCTTCTTCTCTTTCTTAAATCCGTCCTTTTGATTTTAATATAATGCCCTCTTAAGGACAATAATCCAACTGTTGTTTCCATTAGTAACGACTTACTCTCTGTATTTTTGCAGCTCCCGTGTGGTTGACTTGATTGTCCACATCGCTAAAACCCAGTGAAATGGGTAAGACTGGCTTCTTCGGTATGCTATAATGCTAATAGCGTCCATCGTATTGGCTGATTTTATTCAGCCTTCTGCTTCATATCGACAATAAGAGATGTGCCACAAACGACTTTGGTATTTGTGCCTAGTCTTTTGTACTTTAGATCTTTGAGGTTTCATTGTAATGGGGGAATACCCTATGTTTTTGTTTTCAAGAGTATTGAACCTGTTTGACGGTATATGTGTTTTGCTTAAATTTTCTGGAGTTTGACTCTCTCTCTCTCTTCTCGAGTTTGATTCTCTCTCTCTCTCTCTCTCTCTCTCTCTCTCTCTCTCTCTCGGGTAGTGATTGCAGTTCAGCCAGCTATTCTCAGTCATCATGCCTTTGAAGTAAGAATTTGAATCATATTCTCAGTCATCATGCCTTTGAAGTAAGAATTTGAATCATGGTTTATGATTTGTTATAGTATTTTTTTTAAAAAAAAATATATATAAATCGAGAATCATTATAAATTATGGTTATGAAATCAGGAACCAAATGTCTCATGAGATCATGATTCACCCAAGGGTTTGCTTTTTTTACAAGTCATGCCATTTAATGATGGGAAAAAGACGATAAGTCGGTACAAGATGAGCTATTTCTCTCTTAAGTGGAGTAAAGTTAAGGTTTGGGATAGTTTGTGCTTGTCTTCTTAAAAGAAGATAAGCATAAGTTAGTTGGGTTTTTTCATTAGTGTTTAGAGAGTGTAATTTTTTATATTTAAAAAGAATTTTTAAATTTTAGTAAAAAAATATATATTTATAAACTGTAATGTAATAAAAAAAATATATGAGATATTTAATTTATTATTTATAAATAAAAAGTTAAAAATGTAAATAAAAAAAAATTTTGATAAATTTTTTTTTTTCGACCATCAAGTTGACCATCTAAGATTCAAAAGTGTTAAAAACAGTTTTGAACTAAATAATTTATTTGAACTAAACAAGTTAAAAACAGTTTTTTTTTTTTTTTTTTTTTAAGTCAATTTAAACGGGCTTTTAGATTTGATGGGGGAATAGGTACAAATTAGACGTCTTTTACCTGCAATTAGCCCCTGTGTTAACTTATATTATTCTTATTTTAAGCATTTTATGAATTATAAATACTTCTATGTTACTATATTATTCTTATTTTAAGCATTATAAATTATAAACTATAGATAGAGAGTACGTAGTAAGGGTGTTTAAAAAATTTGTCAAACAAATTAAATTAAATCGTTAATTATTTTTAGATTATTGAGAAGTTTGGTTAGGTTTTTAATCTAATATTTTTGGGCGGTTTGATTTATGGTTTAAACTCCTTAAACTGTTCAATAATCGGCCTATAAATATACATATATATTTTTTAATTTTTAAAATATTTTTTACATTTATTTTAATTTTTATTAGTAATAATAAAGGTTCTACACTTATAATTATACCTTATTATATTTATGTTGGTTTGTATTAAAACTTTTAAATGGTGAATTTTTATACATTTGCTATTTTTGAGTTATATTTTTTAACTTCGAATCTTATTTTTATTTTTATGGTTTAACGATTTTATAATTTTTATGAATTATTAAAACATTTTTTAGTCTTATGCTCAAACCTCCTAAACCACTTAAGAGTAATTTAGTTCAATTTGGTTTTTGTCAAAAAAAAAAAAAATCAAAACGCCTAAAAGAAAAAATTATTTTTGGTCTGTTGGTGGTTTTCTAAATCGACTGCGAACACCGCTAGCACGTAGTTTGCAGTTAACATAAATTCCTATTTACTCTAAATCTTATCTTATTTTATTTTATATATGTAAATAGGTAAATATAGGTAAAAAAATTTTGCTATGAGTCTCTGTAATAAGATCCATTTTTTAATAATTAATTACAAAAAGTCTCTCTGAACAATAATCAATGTAACACTTTACCCCTTGAGTTTAAAAAATAACATTCGTTCATTTAAAAAAAAAAACATAAAATCTATGTTCTTCTAAAAAAAGAAATTTAACAAAAATAGTCATTCCATTAGAATTTTAACAAAAAATTGGTACCTAATACATATAATGCGAAGGTATTTTATATAGTCACCCCTTTTTAAAATGTAATATGAGTTTAAAACTTAATTTTATTATAACGTATTTAATATTTTGAGTGATTAAAAATACGAAAGTTATGAGATAAAAATGGAGATAGTGTAAATGTTATAGGCACAAAACAAGCAAACACACCTTAAAAAATCTTAGAAGGGTAAGAGTGTTGGTATTGCATCAACCCCGATAATCCAAATTCTCAAACCACTCCTCGACAAGCCAAAAAGAAATAACACCGAGAAGTCAACACAAATACAAGCAATATGATGATGAAAAAGTTAATTGCCATGTTATTAACTCGATAGAAAGCACTTGTTGTGAAGCATTCTACTATTATGGATGTGAATCTTGTCCAAATATATCATATTAATTTTGGGATTAGAGATGTTACTCTATAAAAAATTATAAGAATCCCATTGCATTATTTTAAAAAAAAAAAATACAAAAAAGAATCCCTTCTCTTGTGCTATTTTTTTGGAAAAAAAGAATCTCAAAACGCTTAATTCTATTTTAAACAGTATGCGTTTAATTTGAATTAATTTCTTCATATATCATACGCAATTGAGATGCATATGGTGCAATTTATTTAATCTGTAAGTTTTAAAAATGTTCTTCATGAATATTTAAAGTTGAGAAAGATATGTTGTAATTGAACAATTGCAGTGCAAAAAGTTACGTTGAAATTAAACCATTGTTACGTTCTTTATATTAGAAGTTGCATCGTTGTTTGATTAAATCCATCCATACTTACTTCGTTCACTTCGCGGATTCGAGTTTTCAATTCGAGCTGATATGTGACATTTTCAGAGAGCTTTTCACTGTAGCAGAAAAAGTTAGATATGACATTTTCTGAGAGCTTTTTACTGTAGAAACCTAAAACTGAAAACTCGAATCGGTGAAATGAACGAAGCCAGGATCAAACATATGGAACATTACCTACTTGCCCCTAAAAACAAGACAATTTTACAACACTACCAAGTCAAATAATGCCCACTTGCTGCAACTGGTTGCAAACTTTAAAAAATAATTAAAAATTTATTAACATTCAATTACAACAATCAGTTAAATTTTTAATCATTTGCCACGTAAGGCTGAAATATCCACCCGCGAATCAAATTTTTATGGTCTCGTTCATTTCATCAATTTGAATTTTCAATTTTAGATTTTACAGCTAAAAACTCTTAAAAAATGTCACATCTAATTTTTTATACTACAGTTAAAATTTTTTAAAAAATGTCACATCTCAACTCGAATTCGTGAAGTGAACTATGCCTATATATGTGTGTGTGTGTGAGTGTGTTGGGTGGGTGGGTTGGGGTTAAGAAAAATAGGGGAATCCAATTTTTGGCCTAAGAATATTTTTAAGTCTTTCAAATGTCATTCGTTGAAGGATCTTTACTACCTGTCGAATGTAATGGGCGGTAGGAGTGAATCTTCGTTTTAATTGCTATAGAATAACACCTTTTAAATCTTGCTAATATTCTTTTCTATAAGATATTGGATAATATTATCTTGAATAAAAATGAGGCTTTTATGTTTTAGGTAGCAAATCATTCGCAAAGTTATTTTGTAATGCATAAGGCATTCATTAGGTCTGGTGTTGTTCAGTTGCGTCTCTCGAACATTATGAGGGCTCATTTAGTTTACTGATTTAAATTTTTAATTCGAATTTAGATGTGATTTTATGTAAGAATTTTTTACTATAGTAAAAAAATAAAATGTGACTGTTTCTGATAGTTTTCTACTATAGCAAAACTTAAATTTTAAACTCGAATCCCGTTCATTTCGCCGATTCGAGTTTAGAATTCGAGTTTTGCTATAGTAAAAAGCTCTCAGAAACAATCACATCTAACTTTTTTGCTACAGTAAAAAGCTCTCATACAAAATCACATCTCAACTTGAATTACAAACTCGAATCAGCGAAGTGAACGGGGATAAACGGACCTCAGTTTGTTTTCACCTCTCTCCGTCTCTTTAGCATTCCACTATCAAATGCCAAATGGACTCAGTTTGTGTGTTTTTCTATGTCTAAAACGCATAACTTATATGCCACGCAATATGTGCGACACTATTTTCTTTTTTTTTGGGTGAACGTCCTACTATTGTGATGGGGTAAAATAGATTGAAATCTCACCTACTTTTGACTATTGTTTTCCTTCTTTGACCTTGGTGAATTATAACAAATTAGATCATAAGCAATTTAGTGTTATTTATTTATTTATTATTATTGTAAGTTCGGTTATTGAGCTATGCATTCGACCTAGTTTATGTCAGATCCTGGGCCACAAATTAAAAATGCAAATATGATTATCAAAATTGAAAAACAGGACAAAGAACTTTAAATATATATATATATAATAGCAATTGGCAAGGAACATGTGATGCAACCGTTAACTACCTCCTAATTCAAGTTCAGCTTTTAAGCTACTCTTCAAAATCTCAACGCTATGGTGGTTGCCCGTTCTAAAGGGGTGAGGTAGGTCAAGAACAACTAAGCATATGCATTTTAATTTGTATGGGATTTCAGTCATTGCTCTTGCTCGTATTGCAATATTTTTTTTTTGTTTTAATCAAAAAACGATTACTTTTTTTTTGTTAGGAAAAAAAATTATTTTTTTTTTGTTTTAATAAAAAAACGATTCATCGTATATCATCTCAAGTTTGATGTCGTTTACATCAACAAGCGACACTATAACCCGTCTTTTTTGTGATGTAGTTATGGCCTGCCATATGACCTTTAGTAAGTTGTGTTAGAAAAAAACGATGAGATATCAAAAACGACAAGTCTTAGAATACTGCAATTAAAAGTTTACTATCGTTCAAAGTTAAACAAAAACGACATCTGAAGTATGACTAGGAAGTAGGAACAGCCTCATAAGTCGGAACCCAGAAAACAACTTGTCATCTCAATTTAAAGTTTGCTATTGCTATCGTCCAGTCAGATAAACGAACCGTCGTTATTTTTTCAAAATTTGTTGTCGTTTTTTGTCAAAAACGCATCGCGATTCAAACTGAAGAAGTAAAAATAAACTTCCAAAAAAAAAAAAAAAGAGAGAAACAAGGGGGGGAAATAAAACAAGTTTATAATCCAAATCCAAATTAAACCAAAAAGGCGAAAAATCCACGCGCGTCGTCGACAGTCTCCCTAGTCGTACCTTAAACATCTTCCTCATTCAAATTTTGTCTTAATATTCGATCTCTCCGCCAATCTTCTTCTTCTTCTTCTTCTCAATCCCATCAATCTCTCTCTCCTCTCTTTCTCTCTCTAAACTTAAATCCTTCAGACAGTAATGTCTCCGATCCCCGATTAACTGCTCCGATTGCTAACCCTAAAGATTCGTACAGGCTTAAATACGGCATTATTTTCTTGATTTCTATGCAGAAATGGCGACCTCGGCGTTCAAATCGACCACGAAGCGAACGTCGATCGGGGCGTCGGCGGACGACTCGGCTTCCTCGAACCGGAGCTCGGCTCACCGCCGCTCCCGGAGTCTGAGCCGGTTCTCGCACCGGATTCTTGCTTCGGCGGCAGATGACTTCGACGAGGTTCCGGCTCCGAAGGGGAGGTTTGTCAACACGGTCAGGGGCTCCGGTTTCCCGGAGATCAGCCTCGACGACCTCGCCGTCGAGTTCTTCGGGTCCGGCGACAGAGGCCGTTCGGCTTCGTGCAACTCCGAGGCGAGTCCGGCGAGCGGCGGCTCCAGTGCTGCGCAGAGACGGGGGAGGTCTGTGTCGAGGCAGGGCTCGAAATTGAATGGCGGCGGTGATGCGAAGGGCAGTGTTAGTAGTAATTCTGGTGGTGGAGGAAGGTTTACTTCCGATAATGGTGCTAATTCGAGAAGAAGACGATCGGTTTCGGTGGTCCGGTGTCAGATTAGCGACTCTGAGGTAACCATTGGTCTCTTGCTATTCTTCTTGTGCTGTTTCTTCACATATTTCTTTATGTAAGAGCCTTTGGAATAAAATTTACTTTGGAATGAGAATTGCATAATCGAAGTCATACGATGAATAGTCTTGTAAAAATCATTGCTTTATCCACATATTTAAGGGAGGATTCTCCCATTAAATTGGAAATGCTGAGAGTGTAATGTATTGCTCCAAGCTTGAAGCTTTGGCTGTTAGATGAATTATACATTGGATATTGAATAATATGTGATCGCTTAAGTCCTTGCGCCTGAATTATGTCTATTTAAATGACAGAGTGATCTAGATCATTCGCAGAAACGTAACAGTGCTAATCCAAAGAGTATCAGTAGTGGAAACAGTGAGATACGTTCGTCTCGCTCTCATATGCCGAAAGCTTCAAATCATAGACAGGGACTGAGAGGGTCGTTTAGCCAGAAAGATTTGAGAGCCTTTGATGATTATTCGGTAAGTTCCATTTCTTGTTACTAATTTACGTCTGGTCCATCATTTTTTGATATGGGAAAATTTTGAGGTGAAACTTTGTAAGATATGGGGTGACTTTAACATTTTGATCTTGTTGCTGATGTTGTTTATTCGTTCATATACAATCTCATGAGAATTAATGTCGGGGATTCATAAAAATGGTGTGTTTGATCCTTTCAGAGCCAGTCCTCGGTTCTAACTGATGACGAAGGGAGGGATACTCCTCACTCCTCTAAAAATGGAATTGAGAGGACCATACGAGCAGTTTATTCACAAAAGAAGGTTTGTTACATGTGTATAAATTGTTATTCTTGAGCATTGTTTCAGCTTTATGCTTCTTCATCAATATGTTTTGTTTTGTTCTCTCTCTCTCTCTTTAATACCCTTTAGGCACAACATCCAACCGGGGGGGATTATGTGAACAGTAGCTTGTATGATGCAATGAGGGCTGAACTTAGACATGCCGTGGAAGAGATTAGAACAGAGTTTGAACAAGTTTGTACTCTAGTTTTTGTAGTTTCGTTTCCCAATGTTTAGTTTTTCTGTTTTATGCGTCAAGTCTAGTGTGCTTCTCTGTTTTTCTGAGGTTCCATCCTCTCAATTCGTACAGGCATTAGGGAACACAAAACCCACAGTTCTGGCAACGGATAATGGCTTGTTGTCAAACAGTTCCGACGTACTGCACACTGTCTCTTCAATCAGGAGGAACTACTCAACAAAATTGGAAGAGGTGTTAATATTTAAATTATTGAACTGCCTCTAGTACTAATATCTTAATGTGAAAGTGATAAATAATAGTACTTGTAGTTGTCCACAAGAAAATTCATCATATATAAATACCTTTTAGTTTGGAAAATGATAGAGGCATTCGATGCATTAAAGCTAACTTTAGAGCATTAGAATGTTTTGGAATAATGTTATGTATTTTCATTGGTTGTAATCGACTATATATACAAAGTGTATATACACCCATGAGCTGGTACAGTAAATGGGGATATCAATCAAATCCTTAAGAATGAGAGTACTACCTAAAAGTAGTTAATTACATTTGATACAAAATTGATACATAATAATTACAATCGATTAATACTAACATTTTACTTGGCAAGGGTTAAAAACTGGGACAAAACAGTACTTTAGGGAATGGAATGCACAGAATTTTACACGTCTGCCTTGATGATAAAACTTATTCATGATATGTAGCATTGCCTTTTCATTTTTGCATAATTATTCTTTAATTCTTTTATTCCTTTATTAACCGCAGTTGAGCAACTGCTTGATTAAACGTATTGTAGTTATTACTAGTAGCATTTACTACGAGAAAATTCTATTTGCATTGCAAATGAAGTACTGAGTCATGGTTAAATGCAATCTCCTAGCTCGGAGTGTTGCATGTTAAAAATGTCACGTTTGAAGAGTTTTACGTACGAGGAACATGATTTTTATTTGCAGTCTGGGAAGCGTAAACAAGATTTGTTATCTGAAATCGTGTTGGAGGAACAACGCAGCAGGGAACTTTGTAAGATTGCGAAGGAATTGCTTCCCGACTCCAAGAACAGTGTTATTGTTGATAAACCATCACAAGTTGGAGCCAGAAGGGTATGATTTTCACTTTCACTTTTCAAGATGCAGGAAAGCTGGTTTGGGTACCCCATATTTTCATGATCTTGCCAAATTGACTATTGTGTATATTCACCAGAGGAGTACGGACAGAAATAGGATGTCAAAGAGATTGTCTGAGGAAGCAGAGAGATACATTGAGGACTTCATCTCAAATGTTGAAGACACAGATATATCATCACTGGATGGAGAAAGAAGTGATACGAGTTCGAGTTTAGGCGGGATGACGAAGGCACCAACTACTCAGAGTCCAACGATGTCTGTACCTCTTCCTGTTGACACGGATGGGGTTCTATTGCCTTGGTTGCAGTGGGAGACTGGTAACGATGCTTCACCTGCACCGTGCATGAATAAGACAGAGCCACCGACGACTCCAAAAACCATGTTATTTGATGCTGCTCAGGTAGACTAGAACTATTGCTTTGTCAATGAATTATAGAAACATTACTGAAGTTATGGTAAATTGCACGCTATTAGATCCTATGTTTCTAAGATATGTAATTTGGTTTTCAGGAAGCGACTAATACAAGTGATCGGATTAATCTCTCCGGCAGCAGCCGCGGCAGCTGTAGTCCTGGGATTATGGATTCGCTTCCGAGGAAAATTGTTCGTGATACTGGAAGTAATGACGGGTCAAAACCGCATAGGTTTGACATGGAGGAGTATCTCAAGCTTCAAAGCGAGGAAGATTTTCTCTTTGAAAGATTTAGACAGCAACAGAGAATTGCTTCCGGAAGCCTGCTTCTCTGTAATCAAATGTATTTTTAGCAATACGCGTCTTTGAAGATTTACTTTTTTTAATTGCGAACTACAGTGATCATTTGTATAGTCTCCACGTCACACTTTTTTTTTTTTTTTTTCACCAAGGGATAAGTTTCTCGTACCAAGTATATGGTTAGTGAAAACGAAATTTAAAAGTAAATGGCCAAATTCGTCAAATCACTCTAAAATACAACAAACATAAGGAAGTCATAGTTCGATTTTCAGTCAAAATGCCTCTGAGTTCTAGTCGTATAAGGATTAATTTGTCATTCATGTGCTCTATAAAATAAGTGTCTTTTTAGCACGTAAACCCACATTATTCATTCAATAAGCTCATTAATTTGAACGTGTTGTTATTCACTAATCACAAAATATGGAGTTAGAGAAGCCTCCTAATAAGGATATTAAAGCAGTAGTCTTAAGCAAGGAAGAAGAGGACCTGAATAAATGGCTTCCGATCACTAGTAATCGGAATGCGAAGTGGTGGTACTCGGCTTTCCACAATGTTACTGCCATGGTTGGTGCCGGGGTTTTGGGTCTCCCTTTTGCCATGTCTGAGCTTGGATGGTACAAGATTTTTTCATGCGCTTAAAACTCTTCTTCTTCTTCTTTTTTTTTTGGTTTTTTTGGATTAAATATATACAATGGTTTGAGAACTTTGAATATGTTTACACTTGGTAGATTGTATAGTATGTTTTACTATAAGGTAATTATTCCATATAATTTGTTGCGATGTAATAAACGAATTTAATGGGTTTTAAGGGGGAAAAAGTTGGAATATATTGTGTGTGTTTTCTTTCGGTTCTTTAGGTGTTGCTTCATCGTTGTATATTTATATTTCATGGAATGAAAAACCTTTGTGTTATGTCTTAATTACTATACTGTAATTACACTATAGCGACTAAATGAAACTTAATGATTAGGGTTTTAGGTGTATTGAGCAGGTTTATAAGCAAAGATGTATATGAACAATTTTATATCTTGGTGATAGATTTACTTTATGGTTTGAATTTTTTTAGTAAGTCAAATTGTAACGACTAGTCACTAAACTGAACCGTGATCTTGATGATATTTTTCGTACATTTATTAGGGTTTAAGAAAGATTTAATGAAGTTATTCTAAAAACAAAAAAAAACAAAAGAAAGAAAGCAAAGATTTCAGTTTATCTTTCTAGCTTGTTTTACTTCTTTGTTCTGGAAGTTCAACAAGATACTTGTTTCATAATTTGTGTTAAATGACTAATAAATCCAAAACCTCCTTAATTGAACCCTAAACTTGTTTTTTTTTTTTTTTTTTTTTTCCCTCTTTCTTGTGTATTAATTAGGGGTCCCGGTGTCACTATGCTGATTCTTTCATGGCTGATCACTCTCTACACCTTATGGCAAATGGTGGAGATGCATGAGATGGTGCCGGGGAAGAGGTTCGACCGGTACCATGAGCTAGGGCAACACGCTTTCGGCGAAAAGCTCGGGCTTTGGGTTGTGGTGCCACAGCAATTGGTGGTGGAAGTTGGAGTGAACGTTGTGTACATGATCACAGGAGGAAACTCCATTAAGAAGCTCCATGACATCCTTTGCAACCGCTTCACAAATCTCCATTGCAAGCCCATGAGGGGCACCTACTTCACCATGATTTTCGCCGGCGTTCACTTTCTCTTATCTCACTTTCCCAACTTCAATGCCATTGCTTCAATCTCAGTTCTAGCAGCCGTCATGTCACTGAGGTTAGTTTTTCCACTTCTTTATTATTTTATCATTATGATTAATTTTTGCTCCCCTTTTTAATTTCACGAAAGAATATCGTCGCGCCATTAAGACAAATTTAGAATTTTTAGCCCTTTCATGACTTGGTGTTGGCACTTATTCTTGTGTTGGTTTTTCTGGTTCTTTATTCTTCCATATGGATTTTGGAAGGATTCAATTCTTTCGAATTGTGTTTTCACAAATATTGGTTTTTCTTTGCCATAATATTGATGAAGACAAGATTCGAATTTTGGATTATAACAAATTTTTATCTATCTTTTAGATTTATCGTGCAACTTAATGTCAGCCGTCAAATGACCAAAAAAACAACTTGATTGTTTTTTTTTTTTTTTTTTAGTTTGAAAACATATATATTTTTTCAAATGATTGAGATAATTTATTTTCATCATCTAGTAGATTTGGGCTGCAATATTGTAGTTACAATTCCACCATTGTGCCCTCTAATCCCAAGAAGACAAAATTTGATCTTTTTTTTTGTCTTGCTTTGCAGCTATTCCACTATTGGTTGGGCTGCTTCCCTCCACAAAGGAATAGCCCCAGATGTGCAGTACGGCCACAGGGCATCCACAACAACAGGAAACGTTTTCAACTTCTTGAGTGCCTTGGGAGATGTGGCCTTTGCCTTTGCAGGCCACAATGTGGTTTTGGAGATCCAAGCAACAATCCCTTCCACACCCGAGAAGCCCTCCAAGAAGCCCATGTGGAAAGGTGTCTTGGTTGCCTATGCTGTTGTGGCCTTGTGCTACTTCCCCGTTGCCCTCATTGGTTACTTGGTTTTTGGAGACAAAGTTGAGGACAATATCCTCATATCCTTGGAGAAGCCCTGGTGGCTCATTGCCATTGCTAACCTCTTTGTCGTTATCCACGTCATCGGTAGCTATCAGGTAATGTAGTATTAACTGACGTGATAATTTTTTAAACACGAACTGATAAAAGAATTACATATATTAAAAGTTGAGACCCTTGACATTGCTTTCGTGTGAATATAGGTCTATGCTATGCCCGTGTTCGACATGATGGAATCGTTCTTGGTTCTAAGGATGAAGTTCAAGCCAAGTTTCATGCTTCGATTTGTGACTCGGACTGGATATGTTGGTAAGCATCTAATCTCTTTAAGACTTGTCATAAATGGTTAATTTGAAGACTTGGGAAATTCTTTTTTGTTTTTACACTGATGAGCACAACCCTTTTGGTATTATTTTGGATGCAGCATTTACCATGTTTATTGCAATCACGTTTCCTTTCTTTGGTGGCCTTCTCGGTTTCTTTGGAGGCCTTGCCTTTGCTCCCACAACATACTTTGTAAGCATTCATGAAAAAAAAAAAAAAAATCCAATTCTATTAATTATTACTACAAATAAGCTCTTGTTAATTCTTTGATATAATTAAATATCTTTTTTTAAAAAATAATAATAATATTGCAGCTCCCTTGCATTATGTGGCTTGCCATTTACAAACCAAAGAAGTATGGCTTGTCTTGGATCACCAACTGGGTAAGATGACTTTAATTTTTAATTAAAGTACATTTTGCATGTTCTTTATATTTAAATTATTAAGTTATTTGATCTTGTTTTTTGACCCTTTTTTTTTTTTTTTTTTTTGGGGGGTTGCAATACTCTCAGTTTTGCATTATCTTTGGAGTGCTATTGATGGTTTTGGCCCCCATTGGTGCGTTGAGGCAGATCATACTACAAGCCAAGAGTTTCAAGTTCTACGCTTGAAGACTATTTATTTTTTAATCCTTTAGTTAATAGACATTTTTTTTTATTTTAGCATTTTTTATAGTTGTTTAGTATTGGAACAATAATTTATATATATATATATTGATATTTTCCTTTTAATATTACTTATTTAAAAGCTTAAGTACCTAAATCCTACATTCTTAAACTCCACCGAAATAAAATAGATTGCTCGAAAAATGCCACATCAATTACTATCTATATTCTACTATACGATAAAATTAAGTTTTGTTTCAAAAAAAAAAATGAATGAAAAAAAAAGAGTTGGTAACATTAGTCGATGAACAAAACAACCTTTAACTTGATCTTTCCAAGACTTTGTGCATGGTAATGTATAAATAAACAACTATAAAAAGAAAAATTACTAAAACGAAGATTTAAAGACCGAACTACATGTCGTTTTTCACATTGCAAAGTTAAAGATTAAAAACGACATACCGTAAATTGAAACAAGAAACGACAACAAAAAAGACTTGAAAAATAAAATAAAATAAAATAAAAACTTTATCCAGTCTTTGAAAATGAAAAGCAAAACAGAAGTAAAAATACACTGGCACTTGAGTTTACTCCCTCTGTTCCCACTTCCCTCCACTTTCTTTCTCTGCATTCACAAATCACAGCAATGCAAATCCTCCATACTTCTCTCCATCCCCATTTCTTCTTCACCTTCCCCAAACCTCCCCCAAACCCTAACCCTAATCCCAAACCCAGCTACCACCATCTCCACCTCCCATGGCGTCCTCTCCTCCCTCGCCCTCCGTCGCTCCGCGGCAAGTCTCCGGCCAACTGCTTCGCCTCCGACGAGTTCCCCGTCGACGAGACCTTCCTCGAGAGCTTCGGCCCCAAGGACAAGGAAACCGAGGACGAAGCTCGGATTCGCAACTGGACCGAGCGCGGCTGGGCTCCTTGGGAGGAGGTCTTCACTCCCGAGGGCGACTTCGCTCGCAAGAGCTTGAACGAGGGCGAGGAAGTCCCTCTCCAATCTCCCGAAGCGATTGAAGCCTTCAAGATGCTCAAGCCGAGCTACCGGAAGAAGAAGATGGAGGAGATGGGACTCACCGAGGACGATTACTACAGGCAAGAACAAAGTTTCTAATTTGTTCTGAATTTATCGTTAATTTTCGATTCATTCGCCTATACTGCTCTCAATTTGCTTTAATGGCGATAATGTTTTTGTCACTGATTAATAATTGCACTATAACAGGAAGCAGTTTGAGATAAAAGGAGAGATTCCGCAGCCACTAGAGACGGTGTGGACGGGGCCGCTAGTGGTGAGGCATTTGCCGCCGAGAGACTGGCCGCCGAGGGGGTGGGAGGTGGACAGGGAGGAGCTGGAGTTCATGAGGGAGGCGCATAAGTTGCAGGCGGAGAGAGTGGACATTGAGGAGTTGGATAAAAAGGTGAAGACGGTGACGGGGTCGGAGGAAATCTGTTTGGATCGGTATAAGGTGTTCTTGAAGCAGTACAATGAGTGGGTCGCCGCAAATGAGGATGGATTGGAAGAGGAATCTTATAAGGTTTTGTGTGAATCATAAGAGTTCTCCCTTTCTTTCTCATTGTGATTGGTTTTATATGTTTGTTTGGCATTTTGGAATTTATTATGTTTTTCCGAGGTATTGATATGAAAGCTAGAGCTGGTTTGCTATTATGAAGTTTATTTTACTCCTACTTGGTAGAGTTGGAATTGTGACTAAAAAAGCTAATGGATTTGGTAATCGGTTTCGAAATTTATGGATTGTAAAGTTGGAAATGTGGCTCAGAAATGTATACATTCGTTGGTTTAGTACCAATAAGGGCCGTAGAATTTGACGATAATATGTTTGAACATGCTGAGTTTGTTAATGAACTTTAGAGTTTTCTGATGTGTGTTTTCTGTTGGCCGTACAGTATGATCAAGATTACTATCCCGGTAGGAGGAAGAGGGGGAAGGATTACGAAGAGGGCATGGTAGAATGTTTGTTTTTTCTTTCTTTTTTCTTTTTAATTAAATGTGAATTTATTTATGCAAGGGTGATAACATTGGTTTTCTTTTCTTTCTTTTTTTAATGCAGTACGAGCTTCCATTTTATTATCCAGGACAAGTAAGTTCTTTAGCTTTTTGGTTTGTCTAAAACTTATCCGAGCTATGCTAATGGCTGAACTCATATTAAGATTTTGCTATAATTTATTTATGCATATGTATTTCTCCCTCTTTCGCTCATAGTAGGATGTTCATGTACATATTATGCTATATTGCCATTTATGTAAATTACTTTCCGGTCAGCTATCCACTCGAGTTAATACTCAAGAATAAGCCTCTTTTGCCTTTACTACATAGGCTCTCAAAACATACTTTTCTAGGTTGAGAATTCTGCCTTCAAGTCTCATCAAAGAAGCCCCCCATTCATCTATAAATATAAAATTGCTCGTCTTATTTTCATTCTATCTCTATGGGAAATTAACCTTAACACGCCTGAATTATTTCCCTTCCACTCCATTCATAAATGCAGGCTGGGAAAAGTTTTTTTTCCCAACCAATATTATAACAGGCTGATAAGACACATTCCTGACTCCTTAAGAAGTCATGCTGTGCCTATGAAAACCGGTGATTTGAAGAGCAACACATTTTATTTATTTGCAGATTTGTGCAGGAAAAGTGACTACTTTGCACCTTTATCAAGGAGCGTTTGTTGACATTGGTGGAGTACACGAGGGGTAATTACTATTTCTATGTTGATACTCCGTTCTGTTTCAAATTTTTATGATACGAATTATGAAACTGCTTTATTTAATTCGTGAAGAGTTATGTTGCTTATAACTTTAGGAGTGCCACACAAATCTTAATGTGTTCCCTTCACTTCTGTAATTAACTAAACCTATGGTGATAGGGAAGTAAAATCAACAGGGTTTTAGGACAAGTATGACTTTGGAAAGTGGGAAAAGAAAGTTTGCAACGCAGATCGCCCCGTCTAAACTCCAAATATGAATCTGTCATCTAGGAAATGCCTTCAAGTTCAATATGAACTTTAACCACCCGCTTGAACTTGTTGTGTTTAAGCTTTTGGTCATTAAGAAATACGTGAACTCTCTTTTTATTTTTTTTTAAAAAGAAATAACTTCCTTTCATTGGTGGAAACATCAATTACAGAGGAAAGAGGATGAGGAACCCCCAAAAGCAATAAAGTAAAAAGAACAGGAAAGGAAAGAACTAGTAAAGGACAGAAAGAAAAAGAAATAACATCAACTCTTAGTAAGATAATAAAAGCCGTTTGTCAGCTTGAAAACGGGAAGGGTCTTCAATATTTCTTATAATACCATTATATTGTTGTCTCACTTTATTTTAGTGCATAATTTGTTTTAGGTGGGTCCCTATAAAAGGTAATGATTGGTTCTGGATCCGTCATCATATCAAAGTTGGAATGCATGTTATTGTTGAAATTCTGGTGAGCACTTACTTTAAGTGATATGTTATTGGCGTTAAACATTTTTCTTGCATGACTGTCACCAAGTAATGATTGGTGATCTTGGAAAATCCGTGCATAGCATGGGTATTTGATTCACAATGCTCAGTCCATTCTTGTTTATGTTTTTTCAGGCAAAGAGAGATCCTTACCGCTTTCGGTTTCCTATTGAAATGCGATTTGTCGATCCTAACATAGACCACCTAATGTATGTTGTTCTACACTCTACCCTTTAACTATTGTCCACCTCAGTATATATTGGTATAATTTTGAGGTCAAAGTTTGTGCAATCTCGTGTTTAGTTAGGTGATGTTTGGTATATGGATTCTACTATAGTGCAAACTCATGGTTTTGGTTCTGCTACAGTTCACAAAAAATTTGAATTTCAAAAGTCATAATCAAGAACCTTGGTTTGAACCCATATACCAAACGGACCCTTAATGATCCTTTTAAAGTTGTAGCTCCTTATTTGCTTCTTGATTTTTGATTAGTTAATGGTTCCATTCAAAGTTGTAACTCCTTAACTTTTTTTTTTTTTTTTTTTTTTTTTTTTATATTAAATCAACGTTTGCAGCTTTAATAGATTTGAATTTTCACCAATCTTCCATCGTGAGGACGATACAAATCCAGATGAACCCCAGTTAGTTATCATGCCCAATGCAAAATTTTCATATCTTAACAGAGTCAATTCATCTCCATAAGTGGCTTTATTATAGATAGTATGTTACCAACCATGAATTAGTTGTGCTTCATTCATTGAAAAGGAGGCATCATTCGATTGTATAATGTTGGTTTTCTCAATAAGTGGTAGTCTTGGATTCATGTGACATTCTAATTGGCCTTGGCACCCTCTTATGTGGCATTCTAATGGGCCATGGCCGGTCTTTCCCCCTGGCTAAGCGCAGACGAAGATTTTAGAGTCTGTACATTTGAGCGAAGCTTGTTCTTAAGACTGATAAAGATCTGAAGCATTTTAAATTTGTTTATCATTGGTCAGCATGTTATGCTTTTGATTTGCCACTTAATTTTTGCAGCGTGATTCTGGAAGACCTCCTGTTCCCCGAAAAATTCCTGGAGACAATCCAGTTGAGGAACCTTTATTGTCGAATCACCCTTACGTTGATACGGTAACTTTTTGCTTCTTTCTTCTTCCTTCCCTCGACTATCTACTTGTTTTATCTCTTTATGATGGTAAATTTTTAGATCATTTTAAAATTTTACCTTCATGCACCGTATGACAGAATATATACTGGTATTTTTGTTTTTTTGGATAGAATGTATACTATAACTATCGACAGTAATTTGTTTGTTATGCAGTTATGGCAGATACATAATGCTGAGCAGATGATATTGGATGATTTGGAGGCCAATCCTGACAAATACAAAGGCAAAAAGTTATCAGAGTTGAGTGATGATGAAGACTATGACGAAGAAAACAGTGTCATATATACTAAAGCTTCCTATAAGAAAACAGTAATTCCAAAAGTGATTCTGGTAAGCACATCTTCAGTTGTTGTGCCTGAAATTGTATGACCTATATTATGTGGATTTACCTGCTGTCTTTGAAATTTAACGGCAGAAAACAAGCCTTAAGGAACTTGACCTGGAGGCTGCCTTTGCTGAGCGTGAGGTCAGCTTCTGTCTTGATACTTGATAACGTGTGCTTTGTACGCTTGTGTATCTATACATAGGGGTTTTCTAACTTTACAAATGTTTCTTTATTTCTATTAAGTTACCACGTGCATGAAATTCTGGTGAAATGCTTACCATGACTGTTTTTTTACAAATATAAATCTTTTAAGGGGTGTATCTATATTGCTACAGCTTCGCAACAAACAAAGGAAAGAAGCAGAAGAAAGGGGAGAGGAATATAAAGTTACTAAGATGAGACGAAATAATGAAATGGATGAATATGACTTACTGCATTGGCGTCGATCTTATGAGGAACGAGAAGCTTTGATCAGAGAGATAAGCTGGTAGTCCTTTTCGGTGTTTTCTTCTCACTTTATACTTTGAATTTGGCAGTATGCATTTTCCTGCTGTTGTCCTTCTACAATTATGCCCCTTCAGTTTTAGTTTGGGTCATCATTTCTTGCAGTTTGTCGGCATTTTAATCCCTTATTTCTTTTAATACTCTCTTGATTTCATAATCATGAACGGTGTAGTTAGCTTAGTTTCTAATGCTCTTGCTAGTAAGTAGTAACACTGTTTCTTGCATGCCCCACCTTTTTTTTTTTGCATCGCCCCCATTTTTTTTAAAAAACCGATTACTTGTTCACAAAGGACTAGACTTCCCATGTTACTGCTTACAGAAAGCTCCCATGATTTTTTTACAGCCGTCAAGCTCTTGGCTTACCACTAGAAGAACCAGGAAGGTTTGTAGAAGCTAGCTACTTTGGGAAGGATCAATATGACCCGGACAGCCCTCTGTATCGGTATGACTACTGGGGAGAACCAAAGAACTCGGAGAAGAGCAAGCAGGAGCGGATGACAGATGCCCACAACAAATCTATTGTGGGCAAGGGCACTGTGTGGTACGAAATGTCATATGAAGACTGCATCAAACAACGTATGGAAAGAGAAGCCAAGGGGATTAAGCCTAGAATAGTCGACGAAGAAGATTTAGATGGAACTCTAGATGATGATGATGACGACGACGACGATTTTGACTTCAGTATTTTGAGGGATTCGAGTCTTGATTCATTAAACCAGCCTCATGTTAATGGGACAGAATCTTCTAGGATTTCGGACGAGGGTATGTTCGAGGATTGAGTCCATTGGTGTGTAGTAGTGTTGTAGCCCTAGAAGAGTTGTTATTTTGTAAAGTAGACAACTAGTTTATATAAGAGGCTTACATGGGGTGAAACCCATTTTTTGTTGATGAGAAAGTAAGCACTAAGCATAATCTCTTCCGAGAATGCAGATGAAGGATACTTTGGATGTGTATTTTAGATATTTATTCATTTTTCCATATCTAGTAAGAATAATAATAAAAAAAAGAACAGGGAAATTTATGTCTTGTTCATTTCACCGATTCGAGTTTTCAATTTTAAATTTCTACAATAAAAAGCTCTCATAAAATGTAACATTTAACTTTTTCTGTTACAGTGAAAAATTCTCAGAAAATATCACATTTCAACTCGAATTGAAAATTTGAATCTGTGAAGTGAACGAGGCTTAAGATTCGTGTATGCTTTCGTTATTTTCCTCTTTTTTTTTCTTTTTTTTTTTTGTTTAATCACTTCTGCAACAGTTGGATGACATCAAAAGAATGGCGTGTGAATTTATCAGAGAGCATCAAATCGAAAAATCCTCTATGCATTATCAAGGGAAAAAAACGCAGGAACTAGATCGCATGATCAAAATTTTCGAAGTAGATAAGATACACATCCTCCAAAGGAAAAAAAGAAAAGAGTGGGGAGCCTAGAATCAGCTATGTTAGAACTGCAAACAAAAAAGAAAAATATTAAAAAAGAAAAAGAAAAGAAAGGATAGGAGAGAGGAGAGAGGAAAATACAACTTCGTACTTTTCTTTTTCAGTTACTGCCGAAAACAAGTAGAAGAGAGAAAAACGAAACTGGGCAACAGTTCTGCCGATCCTTCCTCCTAAGATAAAGATGGCAAAGGTTTGTCACTTGGCCTTTACATCACCATTCCTCCATCAATTGTGAAGACCTAAAATGAAAAAGCACAGATACATATTGCCTCTATAATGACATGTTATATTATAATATGGCTAATATTCTTACATTACATGTTGAAATTAGAAGAGTCATATCTTTCAGAAAGCAAGAATAAAAGTACCTGTCCAGTTATATAACTAGCAGCGGGATTAAGTGCTAAGAATTCCACCAGTCCGGCTACTTCCTCTGGTTGACCGTATCGCCCTGTAAGCATAGTCAAAAGATTTAACGGTTTTATATTTATTTTATTTCGCATGTTGGATCAGACAAATTCAATAGTCCTGAAGAGCTTGCTGTTATAACTGCTCATTAAATCAATCAAACATCTTATGCATACCCCCATAAAACAGCTCAAATTAAGTTCAGAAACAATCTAAATCTACAAAAGCTAAGTGTATATTTTCGTCGGGAAAAAAATTTCACAGTTTCATCCACCATAACATTCACGTAAAACTACAAACAAACTGCTCTCATTAATAATACTATATGTAAAAGATATGCAGTAAGTTGACATATACTTCAAATGATACCATAATGACATTATTCACTTGAATTTGAAAAAGAAAAATAAAAGTGTAGATCTTCAGTCTCACCTAGGGGGATTGTCTCCAGGATCTTCTTCTCTATGTCTTCTCCAAGCTTCGCAGTCATGTCAGAAGCAATAAAGCCAGGAGCTACAGCATTGACCTGTGGAAATTAAGGGTTCATGTAGTTGCTCCAGAAATCCAAGAGAAAATATAGAACTATATGACAAATGGAACCTGCTCTGAGCACATATATAACTTAAATCCTAGATACTCACGTTAATGTTCCTGCTTGCATACTCTTTTGCAACAGACTTTGTGAAGCCAATTACACCAGCTTTTGCAGCACTGTAGTTTGCTTGGCCAGCATTTCCAACGAGACCAACAACAGATGCTATATTGATTATTCTCCCCTGCAAAAAAGTGAATAACCTGAGAGCATGTCTGGTAACGAGTAAAAGATAAAATAAAATAAAATAAAATTGTATGTTTTACTTAATTAAGGACAATACTACGTAGCTCCAAGTTAAAATCAATAAGGAAAAGTTGAGCTTTTGTAGGCAAAATTGCTGAAGGCATTCATAAATTTCAGTTGCCTCAAGTATTATTTGTGCTAGCCAGAAGCCTATTATCTTTAACTATTTGGTCTGACTTGGTGGCAATATAACTAAAGATAAAATACAACCCAGAAGATGATTGATTACCTTTCTCTTTTTCATCATAAGTTTGGCAGCAGCCTGGAAAGGGGAAAACAATGGAGATATAAACAGCATTAGAAACAAATTAGAGCAACTTGCTTAAAAAACAAGGGAACAAATTTTCCCAAAAAAAAAAAAAAAAACTAAATTATAAAACTAGAGCATACACACCTGTGTGCAGAGAAACACGCCAGTAAGATTCAAATCGATGACTTCCTGCCATTGTGACTTCTTCATTCTCATCAACAATCCATCCCGGGTAATTCCTAGAGAAAATTGTACAGCAACTCAGCTGAAATTCAGATAATGAAAAACAACCAAAAAGTTAAAAAGACAATTAAAGTGTTTGTTACCTGCATTGTTTATCAAAACATCAACTGTTCCCCATGCATCAACCGCCTGCAAGCATTAAAATTCAAAATTGATATCACATTGTACGCACAGTTCCAAGAAGTGGAAATTTGCAAACTAATACAAGAGCAGGTATGCTCACAGTTTTGATCATCAACTCTACATCCTCTTCTTTTGAGACGTCGCCTCCAAAAGTAAGAGCTTGACCACCATGTGCCTCAATCTAGACAAGCAAATATCCAAGTCATATTTACAACATTATGCAACATGATGAAGCAAAAAATTTAAAATTTTTCGGCAAAGTCTCATATCGAATATGTGAATACTTCTATCATTAAAAGAATAATATACAAAAGGGTCCCATCATACCAACACTAATGCACTAGATTCAAAATATTAGGAACAAAATGAAAAGAAACAAATGAACAATAGCAAAGCAGTAAAATCATTAAATATTAATGCCAAAACCCAGACAACAAAAAATAATTATAAGTTTCAGAAACAGAATCAAATAAAAGTCCAGAGTTGCTAATACGCACCTCCTTGGAAACTTCTTCAGCTTCCTTCGATGACCTTGCATAGTTTACAAGTACCTGTAACAACAAGTGAAGTCTATGATATAATAATCAAGAACTTTAGTTAAAGATGATTATAAAATGTTCCATCACAACATAGATTAGCGAAATGGAGCAACCATTGTCTGAGGAAAGCGTCAAATTTCCTTTTAGGCAATTCAAAAGAGGAAGTGAGTCCTCAGAATTCCTTGAGAAACAATTGAGGGTTCAGAATTTTACAATTAATGAAAAAGAAAGTCGAAGTTTAAAATGAAAATTGAGAAACAATTCCGAGAGAGAGAAGGAGCAGAGACCTTACAACCAGATTTGCCAAGAGTGAGCGCAATAGCCTTGCCGATCCCTCTAGAAGCTCCGGTGACGACAACCACCGGTGCATCCACGTTCTTAGCGGCAGCGACGCTCGATTGCTCAACCGCTGCAACCTGAGCCCTAATTCCTACGACGAAAAAGAAGGAAAGAAAAGGATTTTTAGCTCAAGCAAGCCAATCTATGGGTGGAATTAAAGAATTCAGAACTCGGAGAACAAAGAATGTAGCTTTACCAGAGGAGGAAAAGGAGGCTGATTTTGTGCGTTGGCGAGAAAGACCGGGAAGGAGCGGAGGCGATCGGAGGCCGGAGAGGAGAGGAGACGGGCGGCGGAGGTGAGAAAACCGGGCCGAAAGCTTGGCCGGAGCTCCGACGGCGTTGAAGGCGATGGTGGCGGCCATTGAGAATCGGAGAATGGTTTGGGGCAGCGACGACGAGGAAGAAGGAGAGAGAGAGCGAAACAAGATCGCCAGAAGAGAGAGAGAGAGAGGAAGGGAAGATCTAGAGAGAGAGAGAGAGAGAGAGAGAGAGAGAGAGAGAGAGAGAGAGTGACAAGTGTGGTGGCGGGCGGAGTTCTCTACTAATGCCACTTTGCCGGTTATCTTTCCGTGCCTGGCCTCGCGCTTGTGTTGAGTTTTCCTTTCTCTTTGCAAAATGACCAGATGGGTTTTTTCTTTATTTTTATTTTTTTTAATGGACCTTTTGATTTTTATTTTGAACCTAAAAACAAATAGTTTTACAAATTTCCCCAAACTATACCTGTCAACGCGTTTTCCCAACTTTAAAATATACCTATTATGGTCCGTGATTTATACGACGTTTTTAAGTTTTACCCACTAAATTTTGAAACGTGCTATAATTTTTAAAGACAGATTTGGGAGTTGATAAATGCCGTTCACTCCAAATAAAGTAGTTGGGCAATAAACTTCAAATATATTCTCTCTTAGAATTTAGTTATAACTTATAACTCTTCGGTAAAACTCATCCTCAAAAGTTAGCTCATGAAAAGAGAGTGTCCAAGTGATTATAAACTCACATACCAAATTCATACTTTAGTAATGTGAGACTCAACCATGATCTTAACATACCACCATGTTTTTGATACTGACGTCCACGGCGGCCCATGACCCACTCTGGCCTTTCTAGGTCGCCCCTTCCGCAATGTAGGCCTGAGGTGGGACATACTCTGATACTAATTGTTATAACCCTTGGGAAGAACTTATTTTCAAAAACTAATTTGTAAAGAGAGGATGCCCAAGTGATTATAAACCTACATACTAATCTAATACTTTAGCGATGTGTGACTTAATTAGGATCCTAACAAAATTAGTTTGTAAGGAGATGGTATCTAAATAATTATAAACTTACATGCTAAGTTCATACTTTAACAATGAATAACAAAGTAGTGGAGAACAAAGTGGAAAATGTATACTAAAGGGTTAATTAAGAGAAAAGAAAAAATATTGTCCTTTCATTTGCCTGGCGCATGATAATTTGACCAAAAAGTAACACGTTTTAAAATTCTGAGCGTGAATATATATATATATATCAGTTGCCACAATAAGTAGATTTCAAATTTTGAAGTGCATGCTTACACAATTAACAAGACTCGGAGAGAATTCATAAAATGCAGTTAGAATGCTAAGGTAGGCTATGAAAAAAATACACTATCAATAAATTATGTTTCAAGCAATGTTGTTGTATTTCACTAATATTAACATATTATCATTACATTTTCGAACCCACTCATTTACATATAACATCACACATTCACACGGTATTATATGTCAATTTGCCACCTGTTAAAAACATTGGTTAACAACTAATAGTTCTTTTATTTAGGGACCGTTTGATATATAAGTTTAAATTAGAATTTTTTATTATGACTTCTGAAATTTAAGGTTCGTTTGATTAAAGGATTCAAACCATGTGATTCGAACCATTTTCAATTTACGCGTATTTTTTGTGAAAGAAAATACTGTAGCGAACCACGAATCATGATTCGAATCAGGGAACGAATCCCTCTACCAAACGCCCCCTTAAATTTTTTATAAGAAAAAAATAAAGAGAACCAAAACCATGAGTTCACACTGTAACATAACTCATATACAAAACATTACCTTAGTTGTTTATGTAGATGTTTCCATGAAAAGAAAGAGAGAACCCATGATCTCACAAGGGATTATGCAGCTAAAAGTGGACCTCAACAGTAAACAAGAACAAAAACTGATAATTCACTAATTAAAAGAAGAGTATTAGTAGAACAAGCTATTTGCTCTATCGGCAAAAATTATATTTTACCGTTAAATTAATTTTTCAACAATCGATTAGACATACAACAAAAACAATTCTATTTGACGTGCTTTCAATTTTTAAAATTAATACGACTCTCTACAAACCTAACCATTAAAAGATTAATTCAACAATTATAAACAACTCCCCACCAGTGGAGCAAAATAACTTGTTCTACTATAAAGATTCCCTAAAGAGAAATATTAAATTAGTTTCACTTCTAAGATGTCAACTGCTAAGGAGTTGCTCAGAATTTACACTCATTTGGGAATAGAGAGTGACCATCGGCAAACAACAAACGAAACTATCTGTCATTATCTTCACTTTTCTAATCATTCCTCAAGTGTTTGAAAGTGACACACTTTTGTTAAGGAAGAAAAATTGAACAGAAATGCCTCTGGTCATAACCTTGAACATGCAATAGTTGTAAATATAGGTCCTTCCCTAAAGCAAACACAAATTCTCATGTAAACTCTTTTCTTTTCTTTTCTTTTTTTTTTTTTTTTTTTTTTTTTTTTTTTTTTTTCTTTTTTTCTTTACATGCAAAATTTTGAGTATTATCCTGCTCCATCACATATTTTTCCCCTTTTTTCCACCAAAACACCGACATCAGATTCTTCTCAAAGTCAATGATTGAAATGCGTTACATCTCATACTCTCCCAACTCCTCATCCCCAAATCCAAAACAAACAATAATCCCAAGTTTCAAACCCAAACCCAGTTCAAATCCAGTGGCTGCTGATGTGCTTTTTCTTTTTGCCAAATTCCATCTTTCATTCTTTGTAAAGGCTGGAGACAAGAAAATATATTATATATGTTGGCCCAAAATTAAAACAGGATGCTTTTAGGAGATTTAGGTAAATGGCAGTGTTCCGCAGGAGACCATTTTCCATTCCCGATCCTCAGCCACACCGACTAGTCGATCTCACCTTCCTCAACGTCATTCGATTGTTCTGGAATGCTCTGGGGTGGTTCAACTTCTTCTTCCTCATACTCATCATCCACCTTCATGTATAATCCAAGTTTTTCTAAGGGGTTACCCTCTAATTTGAAACTACCCAACCCGTTCTGAGAAAGCTCAGGGCTGGCCTCCTCTTCGAAGTTTGGAACCTCTTCATCATGAGCAGCAGTCCTAAGCATTTCTAGGTCTTCCATAAACCGACTGTTTTCGTTAATGTCAACTGTCTTTTCCATCTGTAATATGCACAAAGCTTGTTAGCAGAAGTAATGAGAAAGCTTAGGTTTTTTATGTTTTATTTTATTTTTTGCTCTCATGCTTATAGACTGCAAGTTTTTCACGGCACATGGTGGAAAACTAACTAGACTGTCCTACCATCTGCAACGCTTGACGTGCTGCTTCTCTCTCTAGCTCTCTCTTCCTTTTTGCTTCAGCTGCAGCTTCTTGTTCGGCCTTCCTTCGTGCTTCTTCTGCAGCTGTCGCTTCTGCCTGTAATCGGGCTTTTTCTGTTGACAAAGATAGGCAAATCAATACTCTGAAATTATTCGAGGGGCAGCAGCAAGCAGAGACGCACATCTAATCTAAACACAACGATCTCAAAGTTACTAGTAAAATTCCAAACCTTCTTTCTGCCGCCTTTCAAGTTCTTCTTTCTCCAATCGCAGTTTTTCAGGATCCCGCTTCTCACCCTGAACAAGATACCACAACGTGTATTACAACAACTCAGGTGCAATATGCTACAGGCAAAAAATAAACAGATGAATACACCAATGCAAACGCTTAATATGCAGCTGAATGTTGGAAACAAACCTTTTCAAGAGCCTTTTCTCGAGCTTTAAGTATAGTGTCCGCAAAACGACTTCTCAATAAAGCTGCACGGTACCGTTTTTCGGGAGAGACTTGCCTCTCAGATGGAGCACTCTCCCCTATAATGTTATAAGCATGAGAGATGAGATGATGCGCCAAAACTAACAGCACACAGTTTTCCTCGTGATATTTTCAAGCTTACCATCTTGACGATCATCCACCCCAACAGATACTGGCTTGGACTGGGAGTCTTGCTCAGCTTGTGCTGCCTCCGTCTGTGATGCTGTAAGGGGTTGGGACAAAATTTCTAAGTAATGTTCTAGTTTTCCATGAGCAAGGAAAACAGGACTAAAAAATTCACTCACAATTTCCCACTTGTGAATCCCCTAGCGGCTCACTCATTTTCTGATCCAAACTTCCACCAGAATTTGAATTTTCCTGCCATAGAAAGACGATATAAGAACAGCTTGTCAACTTAGCCTGTGTGCATGTGAGAAGAGAGAGAGAGAGAGGGAGAAACTTCCAACCACACTAAATGCAAGATCAAATGGATAACCAGGCATTCAAGATACCACACCTTTGGAGCACTAGGAGGAACAGGGGGTTTGGCAGAGTCGGCTTCACTATTAGATGAATTACCTGGTTCAGAATCTGTACCCAAGAATAAAAGTGACAGTCAAAACAGCCCTTTTTTAACCATGTTTTTAAAATTACTTATGTTGACACAGTGACACAATGAAAGTGCGACGCTTGCATAAATGTTTTTCAGGCATAAACGAAAAAAATGTCACAAGCACATTTTCATACTTCCAAAGGTTTTCATTATTTTCTTTCTTACAGAATATCTCTAAACAACAATCCAAATTAAGTAGGATAAACATCAACAGTGAAGTCCAAAGATTACACGCTTGAAAACCAAGAAAACTAATAAATAAACATCTAAGTTACTGCATTTCCTAAACAAACATCCGAAAAGAAGAACACAAATGAATGAATTGCTAATGGAGCTACTTAAGTTACTGCATTTCCTAAACAAACATCCGAAAAGAAGAACACAAATGAAACATATACAGTAAAACGAACCACTAGATGAAGACCCTGAATCACTACTGGAGCTACTTGAGTTACTGCATTTACTATTTCTATGAGCTGCATCCTTCTCTATCTCCACAGGTGGAAAGCTTGAAACAGGCTGATCATTTCCACCAACAATATCCACGTCCTCATCAGCCGGTTCATTACCTAATATTGTAGGCAAAATTACAATTAAAACGTCAAAATGGTTCTTGTGCGATAAGTTGAATATGTTAAAAATAAGGGGATTAAATATAAGTGGTGTTGTGGTGAGAAAAACACACCTTTACATGGTTGCATAGAACAATTGCTAAATCCGGACTCATTAGGAAGCTGCAGCAGGAAAAAATAAAATTAAAAAATTAAAAAAAAAGAGAAGAATCAGGTATAACAATGAGATCGGGATCATTCTATTAGAGACATACTTGTACAAGCGTGAGAGAAAGGTAACGTACCTCCATTTCGCAAGGCTCAGCTTTTTCCTGGTTCTTCTGCTTCTCTAGCAAATAGTCGTCTAAAAGCTTCCTCAAAGTAACCAGGGTATCATCACTAAGAGCATCTATATCTATCTCAATCTCATCTTCCCCTGTTTGCTCGTGACTATGCTCTTTTAGGAAATCAACAATGATTTCAGGCAATTCCAGGAGCAGGGCCTCCAATTCGTTACTCAGCTTACGTTTCTCTTCCACAGTAATAACCCGCTTAACGGCCTCTGGCTTCAGACTAGAATCAGTTGGCGCAGTTTTCTTCTTCTTGGCCGGTTGCACAGGAGTTGTGATAATTTCAGTCTCCAATTTAGGACCACTAGGCTTCAATTGAACTTCAGTTGCAAGTTGATGCTTCTTCTCTAAAGGTTTCCATCTCACTTCAAAATACTTGCTCAGTGTCTCAGCCATGACATGGACATCATTTCCTGGTGGGTTGTAAGTCATTGCATTTGAAAACGTAAGCCGCACATCTGCCGCAAAATCCAAAGGACTCGAGTATTTGCCTGAAGCTATCCTGCTCTTCACCGTTCCCAAATCCATTGGATGCTTAATAACAGTAAAATAATCCGGAATATTCAACTTCACCACATCAACTGGAGTGTTGAACACCCAACCAAACTGATGCGACATCACACGGTTAAGCAAATTCTCACAGTGTTTCATCGACATGGAATTCGAAGTATTCACTGGAGCTGCAGGTTTCGCAGCTGATTGAAAACGTCCAGAAGCGTTTCTTTTGTTGTGAGGAACACTACGTCCAGGAGCAGCTCGTTTCTTGCCCTGCTGAGCTGATACTTCGGATAACCTATTGAAACTCTCTATTGGGGGTTTTTTCTGCCCGTCGCTGCAACTCCGTATTTCGCTAGACGGCGACAACACAACAGCGGCGTTTGAACCCAGAGAATCAATTTTCTTCTGAAGGATACGCACTTGTTCAAGTTCCATTTTCAACTTCAACTCCAAATCCTTCTTCTCAGACCGCGACATCCGCGACACTGACAAAACTTGCATAGGAACGCTAAACCCATCATAGCCATCGACGTTCAAACTAATGCATTTTCTCCTAGGTGCATAGGAATCTTCTGAAGCTGTCACCTCTACGTCAATCCGCACAGAGCTTCCAAACCCCTCCGATTCGCCCATGGTCTCAACAGCATGCCTAAAATCTGGAACAAAACCAGTGGAATGCCCTTTCGTGTACTTCTGCGACTTCCCCATCATTTGTGAAAGAGAGCACTTCCTTGATTCCTTCTGTCCGGCAAACTCTATGGGAACAGTTGGTGCCATAAGATAAACCTCAAATTACTGCACATATCAACTGGGGCAACTAAATATCCTCACCAAACTAACTTCGATCTCAATGATACAAAAATTCTCGAAACTGCAAGTTCATGCCAATACTTTCCAGGTTCAGAGTCTATTTTAATTCCAATAGTTCAAAGATATCAGTTTTAACAATTCATCTCATATGTTCCAGATTATCTCAAAAAGATAATTCCTCCCTAGGAGAGTACCAAAAGACCCATTATTTCTTTCCCGCCAACAACGTTCAGGTCCAGAAAAAGTGGGCTAACTTCAAAATTTTCAGAAATCACACAATCTTCTTTAACCTTCATTGATGCCCAATTTCAATTTTTTTCGCAATTTCAACATCACCCAAAATGTACACTTTCATGAATAAAATAAAATTAGGAACCAAAATTGACAGCCCAAACCTCTATAAACTCACTGATTCTCTCCAACCAATGCAAACACCCAAACCCTTGATTCTTATAACCACAAATACCAAAAGAATTTTACTTTTTCATTTCTCAATCACTGAAGAACCCATTTTTCAGATCATCAAAGCTCCTTCAAAGATGAACGAACAGAGCCAGATTAAAAAGAAAAAGAAAAAGAAACAAACGGAAAGGGAATTCAAGAACTTACGATTGGAAAAACCTAAACTTTTTTGTCTCCGAATAAACCCCCAAGAACCAAAACCGAAGATCGCGAAGGAGCTTGGAAACCAGTGCGCGAGACGAGCAATACAACGCGTTTAGGTCAAAAAACAAAACCCTAGAAATCCTCGCAACAATCCAATTCAAAATCTGGATCTCATGCCAAGCCGTTGCAATGCGCTATCAAACCCTAGAAAACCCTTTCGTCGCCCGCCGAGAGAGAAACTAGAGAGAGAAAGAGAAAACAAGTTTTTAGAGAGAGAAAGAGAAAAATAAAAATAAACAAAATTGAAGCCTGAGAGATGTGAGAGAACTGAGATCTCTCTGGGCTAATTCTCTCCTCTACTTAAAGGCCCGTTGGGCTTCGATGCTACCTCCACTAAAACGATCGTAGCCGTATGTCACTAAATCGGTAATATCCAACGGTCCAATTTAAAACCTTTATTACACGTCGGATTAAGATCCGACGGTTGGATCTAAATGTGAAGATTCACATGATTGACTCGGAAAATAATATGAAATTTCCAAATTACTAAGAACCGAGACGAGGAAACTCACGCGCCTGAGTGCGGAGAAAAAAGAAAACGCGCGCTTTCGGAAGGTCTTGTGGAGAAGTTGAAGACGTGGCTTTCCGCGGAAGCGAGTGGATATGCGTGGAATATTTGAGAAAGAAGTTTTTGGTTTTGAAATTAAAGAAAGTTTTAACTTTTTTTTAATGCGAATTAAAGAAAGTTACTTGCTATTGCCGACCGACCATGTTCCGATCTTTGACTTTTTACCAACTCATGACGTCGACGAGAAACACTGCCCACACACGTGCTGATTTGGATCTGCCAGCTCAGAAACAACTTTCCATATTGACTACGGCGGTGAATGAATAAATGAACAGTGATTTGGATTGTTTGTGGATTTATTTGACGAGCTCCCTAAATTTTAGATAAATTTTAATTAAAATAGTTTAAAAAATTATTTTAATTAATAATTTTTATGTAATACATTTTAATTATATTTTTTATTTTAATTAAGTATAGGTTATTTTAATATTTATTGAGTTTAAAAATATAAATTACTTTATTAAATTTTAAAAAAATCTTTGCATTTATTATATTTTAAAATAATAAAAAATATAAATAATTAAATAATTAATCACTTCTTGCTAACTATATTTAGTTAATATGAAATAGATTTTCTAAAATAACTAATCATTTAGTTAATGGTTGGAGAGGAAAAAAGTTAAATTCTATCTAAATCATTAACTATTTTAACTAAAAACATGAAATAGCTAACATGGTTGGAGTTGCTCTTAAAAAGTAAGATTTAAGAAATAAAATTTTTTAAAATATAAGAATTAATTATAAATATTTCCTTAAATTATGACATGTGTAATACTTTATTCAATGCATTTTAAAATGTAACATATGTTCCCATTGAAAATGAAATATTAACAAACAAACAAAAAAACTATGTCCGTGAAGTTTTTTAACTTAAATTGACATATCATCACACCATAATTCATGATTTAGGAATATTTCGATATATCTTACAATATCTAATATAATTTGAATTTAAAATTTTCTTAAAAAAAGGAAAAACAATTCTTTTGTTTTTTTGAATGGACAATTCTCTTGTTTTGGGGAAAAAATATTTTACAAAAATTTTAAATAATTGTGTAGAGTTGAACAACAAACTATAGGGATCCAAAAGGAATACCAGAAGATTAACGAACAAGAGCAAAAATCCCATACCAAACTCCTAAGCTCATTCTCAAAAAACTCACATCTGAGAGAGTGGGTGACCTTGTTAAAATGGCGGTACGGTGGTGATGCGAGTAAATAATATCGGAGATAATTGTACAGTTGGAGTTTTATAAGTGAAGAAGATAATATTTGGGGTTTTTTTTTCTTTTTATTCTTTTTATTTCATCTTTTCATACTAAATGAAATTTAAAGCTATTAACAAAAGAAAATAATATAAATATATATTAAGAAGTACGGGTAAAAGAGTAATTATGTATAAACTTGTTTAGCTATCATTAAGCACGACACCAATCACTTCTGTTAAAAACTTAACAGAAAGAATATTTTTATTAATGTTTCATTTTTAGGAGGAACGTGCATTACGTTTTAAAATTCAGGGAACACAATGTTGCACGGGCTAAATTCAGAATGAATTTTTGTAATTAATCTAATAAAAATTATTATTTTAGGTTAAAGTAATAGGGAAATTTTATAATAGTGAGGTGTACATTTCTTCTACTAGTAGCGATAAATTGTGATTGTTAGATGAAAATTAAATGATAAAAAGTGATGAAAATAAAACCTCACCATGATAGCAAGGTGATAGCAAGGCCCCTACCATAAACATTCCCTTATAAATTTTATATCATATATAGCAAAAAAAAAAAACTAATTCTTCATAAAAAAAAATATAATTATTTATCAACTAAACTTAATTGGTAAATCCTAAAAAATCATTTTTAAATCAAATTACAAGAAAAATCTGACCATTTTTATTATCAGTAAATACTGTTATTTATCAAAATAAAAAGGGAAAATGAATTTCGGGCCATTTTTATTATTAGTAAATTCTGTTATTTGTCAAAATAAAAAGGGGAAATGAATTGTTCAGCACAATTTCTCATAAAATAACGCGATTGGCCTTCAGTTGGGCCTAGCTCCCTCGAACTTTTGGCCCACTAAACATTGGGATACGGTTCTCTTGTGATCATTGTTAGGCCTTTGCCGAACAGATCCAAAGATTGGTCTTTAATTTTGAGGAGAAAATTGACGAAGAGTATAGTATTTACACGAAATGGCTATTTTTACCCACCATATTTAGGATATAAATTTAATTGAATAATATTATCTATTTGTTCATTTTATGGTTACTAATATAATATAATTTTAAATTTATTTTTTTATTTGAGCGGTTATGAATTTATACAACTGAATTTAAAAGGTATCTTATTAGTGATATAAATGTCATTACGGGTTATTTTACAAACTTATATGTCAATATAACAACCCGTGGACATTCCTTTTTTCATCCATTATAAATTAGACATAGATGTAATTAACTCTAAAGTATTTTGGTCTGAGACATTGTTTATTTTATGACCCAAATCATATTACTACAGTGTTTTTTCTCACAAAAATTTAAATTTAATTTTTTTACTATAGTGTTTTTCTCTCATATACGTAACTCAAGTCATAACTTGAGTCTTGATTAATACTCTTTCGATTAATATAGTTATTATTAAAATGATACTAATTAAGAGTAAGAGATAAAAAAAAAAAGACTCGCGCACTTTAAAAGATACAATTAGGAGTACGTTTAGATAAATATTGTTTGGTATTTGAATATTTCAAGTTTCAGCTTTAAAAAAAGGTATTTGAATACTCACTCTAGGAGGATTAGAAAGATGCCAACTTTAAAATTAAGAAACGGCAAAAAAAAAAAAACTCACTTTTTAATTATGAAAAAAGGAAAGATTAATAAAAGAGAGAAAATCCCATCAAAAAATAAAAGAGGAAAAGGGTAAATGAGAGTTTACAAAACAGTAAGTTTGCCTTGAAAAATCGTGAAGAGTTTGAACCATCTCTTCCTTCAAAATTCAAATTATATAATGTCTAAACATGTCCGTTTCGTGAGCAGATTTGAAAAAAATAAATAAATAAATTTTGTGAAAGAAAACACTATAATAAAAAAAATTTAAACAATAGTATAAATTTATTTAACAAAGACACAGTATATTATTCACATTAGAAAAATGGCATGTTTCAAAAGAAATAATAGAAGGTGGCCCCGTTGCATATCTATGACATAAAAATGACAAGATGCCTAATTATCTTTAGAGATAATGTAATAAATAACATATTTACACACTTGAAGTATATAACATAATTAACTAATATGTTTAGTAAATAGCTTCATGATAAATGTGTATTATATGATTTACCAATTTTTGTCTCTGTTTTTATTTTACAGTTTCTTTCTCAATTTCTTTCGCTCTGTTTTTTCTCTTCTCTCTCTCACACGTACAAACATTCATTCTCGTATCTCTCTTCTCTTTAACCGTTAGTAGTCTCATTAAAAATTACATCTTTAAACGTGGGTATGGGTACCCGCCCATAATAAGATGAGTATGAGAGATACTATACGAAGACGGAGTCGTTGTGGGGATTAAGATTAACTCTCGAATCGAGGACGGGTTGGGATGAGAGAAGCTTCCCTACCCATATCCTGACCCGATCACAGGTAATTTTATTTTAAAAGTGTTTAGATGTTTTAATGTTTTCGTTTTATATACAACTTTAGTTTTCGGATGGTTGGAGTTTGCAGAAGTAATTGTTTCATTTTTTTATTTTAAAAATATTTTTTTTTTTCAAAAAAAAAATCACAAATAGTAGATAAAAAAGTAATCTACTGGCTTACGATTGAAAAAAAAAAAAAAAAAAAAACAAAGAAAGAAGTAACTAGTCATCTAGTTACAAATCACAAGGGCAAATGTTGACTTTACAGGATAATGTTATTTGTAGGTCCAAAATTTACGTGGAACAACAAACACACAAGGAAATGGCGAGAATGTTCTTGAACGTCTTGATTGTCGTGATTGTGATAGAGCTGTAATTTTAGACCGGACTAAATGGACAAGTCTGAGACCCGTCATTGTTAGCTTGAGCGCAGTCCGACCCAACCCTAAATTTCTTAGGCTTAGGACCGGCATAGGTCGGACCGACCCTCTCTCATTTAGGGCCGGGGCGACCGGGCCCAACAATAATATTTTTAAAGATTTGTTTGAAAATACCTTATTAAATTTTAGGTTGGGCCCACCATCTCTCTCTTTTAAGATCGGGCTAGGCCGGTCTGAAATTTCTTTTTAATCTGAGCCGTACGGTCTAAATTTACACCTCTATATTAGGGTAGTGAAGAGCGCTAATCGCTCACATTGACTTTTCTCTTATATATACACACACAT